CTGCGTGACATATGTGCCGCAGCTTCCATGAGATAGGAGAATGCAATAGATTCCATAATAATGTTTTATTAATGATATGCGTTTAAAGAGCACATACCCACCAGTATCTTTAATTATAATAAAGTGCCTAATTTCCTTGAAGCATAGCAGCTAAGAGACCTGTGTTCGCACATGTCCAGTGTCTGCGAAACTAAACAATATTTTTTTTCAAATTATACAAGGAGAGGAAATAATATTATACTTCTCGCAGTAGCTAACCATGAAGAATGGATTTCGATGCCCCTATTTCACAACGCACGCCGGGTTCCCCCATTAGTATAATATAGTATACGAATGCATATCGCATGTGAAAACAAATGAACAAAATCAAGATGGCGTCAGGAGACCGAGGACCCCTTAATTTCTGCGCGTCCGCGTCATGCCATTGTTCCGTCTGTCATTGCGACGGCGCGCGGGCGATGCGGCGGCGAGTAACCAAGGCGCGTCTAGCAGAGCACGAATCGATAAAGTCCATCGATCGGCGGCGCGCGCCGTAGACTCGCAGCCTCCGCATCTCTAGCGGCGATCGGAGCGCGAAGCCATCGCTGTGTGTATTATACACTGTGAGTGTGTGTGTGAGTGAACTTGCCGGTATCATTCTTACTGACGTCGTGCGGTTTTTCGTCGTCGTGCATGGGTCTGATCACCCCCACGGGTGTGTTAACCGTGTGACGACAGGAACTTGTTAGTGTGTGTGCGAACGCGTCGACGCTGCAGTGAGGTAGAGGAGCGAGGTATAGCGTGCTGGACGGGGATAGACGACGTCATGCTGTAATGAGCTTTACATCGGGTGCGCGCCGCTCAAGTTTCTGTGGTTGAGCGAGAGAAAGAGAGAGAGAGAGAGAGAGAGAGAGATAGAGAGAGAGAGAGAGAGAGAGAGAGAGAGAGAGAGAGAGAGAGAGAGAGAGAGAGAGAGAGAGAGAGAGAGAGAGAGAGAGAGAGAGAGAGAGAGAGAGAGAGAGAGAGA